CCCAGCCTCATAGTCTAGAAAAACTCCCACCAGCTGGGGCTTCTCACTCAGATGAAGGGAAGTAGGGGTAGAAGTCAGAGCTCCAAGGCCATCCTTTTTATACATCTTGATGGTCCAGAATCCAAATTCAGGCTCCTTCTTCCTGTCAAAGCCCCTTGGCACATCCTTTACACAGACTCCCACATCCCAAGTGGTTGCATTCTCAACAGACACTTCGAAGTAGTGTCTTCCTGAAGTAAAGTCCTCACAGCCCAGGACACAGGGTAAAACATCAAATCTCTCGGTAGAAGCCTCAAGATTCTTGTGGCATCGTTTGTAAGTCACTTGTCTTCGATCTTTAGACAGAGTTAGGTCACGATGGACTGTGCTTGGGTCCAGAGTCACACTGACTGTAAAACAACCACAACCAGTCTTTTGGGAGCTGGAAACATGATAATTTAAAAAACAAGCAAGCAAGCAAACAAACAACAATACAAACCCTCTGTGTTCAAATCTGGGCATGATTTGACATTGAACCCCCAGCGATGCGAACTATGTGTGAAGCGCCTAGGAAGGGGAAATCATCGAGCCTAGTGCAGACACCAGTGAGGAGAGTTAAGTGAGTTCATGTGTGCCTGGGACATGGCACAGGCCTAGTCAGCAGTGGCAACAATAAGTCAACCCCCTCATCTGTATCACCGGCATCTTGAGTTACTCAGAGATGCCAAGGATCAGAACTCTGGAGTTACTCTGGTTCTGCTCTGCCCCAAACCCTCCTGAGTTCAGAACTTTTAGGATTGTTGACATTGACCATGGAGCATAAAGGAGCCCTTCCCAACTCTGTTCATATCTTATGCAAACACTATCTCAAAAAACAAAAACAACACCAAAACACAAATAAACAGAAATTTCACACACACACACACACACACACACACACACACACACACACACACACAAATACACAAATCACCAACCAAAAAGAGAAACAACTTCCCCAAACTTTTATTGACTAGAAGCTTTTGAATTTTGTAATCATGGACAAGAAGCTATAGGATGTAGCAAGCACTGTGTAACAGAACAGAGCAGGAAGCTTATTCGTTGGGATTAGTAACATTTTTGTATCTAACATGTTCATTCATTATCTGAGAAGAGTCCCTAATATGATTTCCATCATACTACATACTGCTCAACTACAGCAGTGTTTTTAATGAGAATGGTCTCCATAGACTCATATATTGGAATGTTTGGTCCTCAGTTGGTGGAAATCTTTGGGAAGATGAGACCGGGTGGCCTTATTGGTGGAGCTCTGACACTGGTGACAGCTTTGAAGTTTCAAAAGACTAGAAATCCCTGGTATCCCTCTCTACCGCCTGCTTGCAGCTCAAGAAGCACACTCTCCGCTGCGCCTGCCACCATGCCTGTGCTCTGCCATCGTGGGCTCTAACCCCCTGGAAGCATAAGCCCCAAATTAATTGCCTTCTTTTATTTGTTTGTCCTGGCCATGGTGTCTTATTAAGGCAATAAAGTGGCTAAGACATCTGCCTTGCTAACATTGCTCCAAGAGTCAGAACAATTCACAAGAAACACTGGGTGTCAGTTACTGTTTTCTTACTGTGACAAAAAGCAGCTTGGGGTGGGGGTTGATGTCCTCATCCACAGTTCCGAAGAATGAAGTTCATCATGGAGGGAAGGTGTGTCTGCAGGGGTGGTCTGGTCCCTGCATGGACCAGGAAACAGAAACAGATAAAGGAAGGCCTGTGCTAGGCTTGGATTCTCCTCTTTGTCTTTTTCTTGTTCCCAAGACTCCAGCCCATGTATGATGCTGCCCACATTCAGAGTGTGCCTCCCTTCCTCAGCTAAACCTTTCTAGAAACACCTTTACAACATGAGCAAAGGTTTGCTTCATTAACGCCACAGGAATTTATTAATCTAATCAAGTTGGCAAAATTAACTATCATATTCTGTAATCATCTCTAAGACCACAATGTTCCCTGGGCATGTATGAGCTACTATGCTATGGGTCCACACTGTTGATGTGGTTAATTTTCATGACAATTCAATGGAGGGGGGGACTTTGCATATACTTATCTTTTTATTTTTCATATGGAGACACTGAGAGACTGGTGTTGACTACAGAGAGATGGCTAATAATGGAAAAGCAGAACCTAGAAGGGACTGTGCAAAGAGCTATGCGCTTAGTATGCAAAGCATGCTAACTATTAAAAAACAAGAGATGACAGCTCCACAAAGCTAAGTGAGCAACCAGATCTTCATATGGGAGTGCATCTCCTGGAGTAAGTGCAGAAGCATGGGTTCCTTCCATCTCATCACACGGTGTGTGGCACTGATGTGGCGCCAGGACCTTCCCAGTACTGAAGATTCTCCTGTTTGCGGTGGGAAGGCAGGAACCTGTCTACCGCTTGTGTCTAGCCTGAGTTGACTAGTGGCTGGAATGAACTCCATGCACTCTTTGCAGTCTGAGAATCCAGCACTGGACACGAATAACTATCAGGATTATTCCCCAAGAGACTCCAGAACTCAAGTTTAACTCATACTTCCTCCTGTGCCCTCAGCCCCTTACCAGCTCCCTTGAACCATTGTGCGTGTTATTACTTAAGCAAGCAGAAAGGGTATTTGCGCACTTACCCCATCAACCTGCAGTTACAAATGTGGTCAGGCCTTGTCTGAACATGATGATCCATTTCCCTCCTTTCCATAATAATTCTGTCTTCGTGAAGTCACCCTTGCTTGGATTTTGGAATCGAGAGGCTGAGGCTGACTCACTCAGTGTGTGACACCCTGTCACCTCCCGCCTTTTGTCCAGAAAGCACCGGGCCCACAGGCATGTAGGTATCAATGATGAGCGTCCCGGCTGCCTCCACAGTGCTGTCTTGTTCCCTGTTCTGCAGTTCTGAGTCTGCTCATGGGAATGCCTCTGTATCCTGCAGAGTGGTGAGGAGGTAAGGTGACATCCCAGCAGGGCAGGGACAGAGCTGGCTGGCTTGGGGGAATTTTGTGATGTCAGGGAAGCGCTGTGACAACCCCGGCTTTGTACCACTGCCACCGGAGCAGTTATGAACCAGGAAGCAGTTATGAACCAAAATGCCAATGGAATGGCAGCTTTAGAAGCCTTTGGAGTCCAAAGTTGGAAGTAGAAACAGGTAGATCTCACATCAGAGCATGCGCTGACCTTCTGCTCTCTTCCTGCTGGATCACAAGGGTTTTGAACTTTGTCACTGATTTGTTCCTTGCATTCAATACTTTGCATCATGTTCTTTTTGTCCCCTTTGTCCTTTAAGGATAAGAGGGGTCAAAGGATAGGAGCACCTCCATTGCCTGGCGATCGGCCCCCCACAGAGCTCTGGACTGTGAAGCGACTCAGCAGTGATTCCTAGAGTTTCCAGAAGTGGCGACTGTCCAGCAGAGCAGTCCTGAACCCCTGGCTGTCTTCCTGAGATGCCAGCCTGGGCACTCTGGAGGGAAGGTGATTACAGGTGACTAATGTGCATGCAGGGCGGAGCTGGGTGGAGAGTGCCGTCTCCAGATAACAGAGGCCTCGCCCCACAGCTCTGAAAAGGCTCGGAGCATAGGCAGCTCTCACCTCCGCTTCTGCTTCTTAAATGACATGATCTCAGGAAACCGAGAACACAGGTGAGGGGGGAAGCTTGGGCCAGGCTGCTGGGGCCTTTGAAGTGGTGGGGAAGCCCATCGGTCATGAATGTGGTGCCTCCTTGCAGAGAAGGCCCAACTGTGTCCATGGGGTCAGTATCCTACCTGTGACCAGAAGGCTTCTGAAGAAACCCTTTGTGGCTCTGTGGCTTGGTTTTAAGAGGAATGTAGCTGGTTTTTTCAGTTTAATTTAATTCCTGATTCCTGTTTTAGTTCTCTCTCTCTCTCCCGTGTGTGTGTGTGTGTGTGTGTGTGTGTGTGTGTGTGTGTGTGTGTGTGTAGAACTGGGATGGGTCTCAGAAGCAGCTGCCACAGGACAGGAAACAGAAGTGTTGCTATTAGACATTTCCACTCCCTCTGGTCATCATGTCCTCATGGGGCACATCAGAACTCTGGTTCTCCCTGAGCTCTGGCCTCCTTTCCACTTTATATCCTGGGCTCTGACATGACACTCCCTCAGTTCTCATCACCTAAACTTCTGCGAACAGGTTCTGGCCCAGAGAAGAGACATAAATCCCCTAGTTCTTAAGGAATGCTTCTCCCTGTCCCACTTTCCCCTCCTCAGCCCCTTTTCCAGTTTTCTTGGAACAAGAATAAACCAATCTTTGGTCAGGCACGGTGGTACATGCCTGTAATGCCAGCACTTGGAGGCAAAGACAGATTAACCATGTCCCAAATCAGACTGATATATGGAGTTTTGGTTTTTTGGTTTTGTTTTGTTTTGTTTTTTGTTTTTTGTTTTTTGTTTTTTCCAGTCAGGGCTATGTAGCTAGGCCATGTCTGAAACAGACAAAGAGTCCCACCAATAAATCAGTTCTGGTTACCTCAGTTATATTGACCATCCTCCTGTTTGTGACTCCACTGAGATTTCACTATGGAGATGTCTTGTGATCTTTAGGGGTAGGGGTTTAGGAAGATTCAAATGTGATAGTCCGACTGGAATCTTCCATTGACCCTCAGAGTGTTCCCCATAGTTATAAGTCTGAAGTCTGTTTTGTTAGATATTAAGACAGAGACACGTGCTTGCTTCCTGGTCCCATTTGGAATGCTCTACAGCAGTGCCTATCTTGAAAGCCATTTTTTCTTGTAGATAAAAGACAAATGGAATTTGTTTCTTGATCTATTCAGCCAGCTTGTATCTTTTGATTAGAGAATTGAGGCCATTAATATTTAAAGTTACTACTAAATTGTGTTTATTGATTGCAGTCATTGTGCTGACTTTGGTCTTGTGTTCTTAGTGATACTTTGTGTTTTAGTAATTATGGCTTTGTATTTGTTTGTACAGTCTCTGGACTGTGCTCATACCTCTCCTATAGTTTCTTTAGGTTTGGTTTGTTGGATATAAATATTTTAGGTTGTTTATATAGTGGAAATTTTTTTCTTTCTCCTTTGACTATGGCAGATAGTTGTGCTGGATATATTTGTCTAGGTTGGCCATTGTGGCCTTTTTCTAAGGACTTGGAATGCACTGCTCAAGGTTCTTCTAGCTTTTAAAGTTTGTACTGAGAAATGAGCTGTTATTTTTATTGTTTTTCCTTTGTACGTGACTTGTGTCTTTTTTTCTCTTGCAGTTTTCAATACAGTTTCTTTGTTTTAACTATAGCACACTCTGGGGATTTTCTTTTTCTGGTCTTGTCTCTTTGGTACTCTGTGTGTTTCATATGAATATGTCTTTCCTTAGTTTGGGGAAGTGTTCTTCTATGATCTTGTTGAAGATATATAGGATCTATGCCATTGGCCTGGGATTCTTCTCTGTAGCCCCCATGCTACAACCTGTTCACCATGTCCGAGCTGAGGACTAAATAAAGACAAGACAGTGGGTCACTTGTCTCAGAAGAATGCCATTTATTGAAGGAAGGGAGAGGCCTTAAATACAGGCTCACAGCACAGTGGAAACCCATGAGGGCAAAGGTTCACTATCCCACACCCTAACTTGTTTACTCAACTGAGATGGGTACCCGGAACAAGGAACCTGCAGTTAGCTGTTTTCCAGGAAGGAAGCCGGCAGGAAATCAGCATAGGGAGGATATCTGGTAAAGGTGAGCAAGCAAGTCAGCAGCTACCCAAGGAGCGGGGGCCAGGGCCCAACACTTCTCCCTCATTTATTCCTATAATTGGAAGGTTTGGTCTTTTTTTGGTGTCCCACATTTCCTGTATGTTCCTTTCCTGAGTTTCAGTTTTGTTTTTTTTTTTAATTCTTTGCTCATGTTGTCCAGATCCTTTGCTTTATCTTTGAGTCCTGCTGTGCTGTCTTCTGGTTGACTCATCGTGCTTGTGAGGCTTTTGTCTGGGTTTTCTGGTGTGGTTACTGGAGGTTTCAGTTCCATTTTCACTTCACCCTGAGTCTTCTTAAACATTCCTGTCTCTTTACTGAATTCTGTTTTCAAACCCTAGATTGTCTTCATCATTTCCATCAGCCTTATGTTTGTGTTTTCTTGAGCATCACTCAGGCTTTTATTTTTAGTCTTTCTCTTTAAGTTCATTGAGCTGTTTCTTCATACTCCTTGAATTTTCTTTAAACTCCTTGAATTCTTTGATAAGGTTTATGAATGTTATTTTAAATCCTGTGTCCTGAGGTTCAGTTAGGAAAATTTCACTGGCAAACATTTCTCTAGGAATAGTGAATTTGGGGGGATGAGGAGATACAGCCTTGATCTTCCATATTATTTGTACTTTTACAATGGAATTTGGGTATGTGGACCTCTTTTGCTCTGTGTCTGATATAGACAGAGGAGGTTGGAGCAGATGAAAGAATATGTGGGTTGGGTTAGGCCTACAGGTTGGTGAAATGAAGTCAAACGGAGACATGGAGCTGGACTGGTATGCAGGACGTGTGGACTAGTCCAAGCCTGGAGTTTGGGTGTTGAGGAGTGTGTGTGAAGGGATAGCTCAGGCAAACCTACCAGGCTAGACCATGGAAAAGAATGTGCAGGATCTTGTCTGAGTGGAGAAGCTGAATGTGGTGTGGGAGGGGCCTATGGGTCAGGTGCAGACAGGGCCTTAGAGCTGGACGGCGACACAGGTCCGGGTGGCCGCACTAGGCTAGGCCAGATCTGGGAGGCCAGTGAGGGTTCATGGAGGAGAGAATCAGACAGACTAACCCAGCTAGACCCAGGCAAAGGATGTGCAAGATCTGGCTGGGTAGAGCGCTAAATGTCCCAACAACTATAAATAATGACAGCATCAGCACTATTCATGAGCCCATAGAATGGGAAAAGTTTTCACATTCTCTGTGTTCAACTTCCGAGAGGAATTAGTCTTGATCTGCCTTTCCCAGCACATGGCGTAAGAGAACACTGGACAAACATGAACTGCTCTATATCTGGGCTATCATGGAGTCACCAGCTTCAGGCGACAATTGAAAATGGAATGTGCCCAATAAGACTGAGAAACTGAACTTAAAAATGATTCAACTTTTATCAGGTTGAATGTAAATGGCCGAATGGGATAGTGGCTGTTATGTAAATACCATGAAACTGTTGATGCATCTTCTCAATTCCAATCTGCTTTTCTTTTCTAGAGACTTCAAACTTCTAAAACCAGTAGCAGCCAGTGATTGCACTTATGCTTAGGTGAGGCGTACATCTACCACTGTGGAAAATATTTCTCTACTTCTGTTTGCTTCATTTGGAAACTACCCAGGAAAAGCCATGGGCTTAAGCATTAGCATAATAAAGATGATAGAGCTCTCTTCTTGCTCCATCTGCAATAAAATGATGTCTCACCCAGTGAGGATCAACTGTGGACACAGCTATTGCAAATCCTGCATAGAGAGGGACTGTAACAAAGTCAGCTCAGAGACAGGATTGAAGATAAAACTGAGCTGTCCTTTGTGTGGGAGTCCATTCAGTTTAGAGAACCTCCAGCCCAACAAGGATCTGGAAAACATAATTGATGTCATCAAGGAGATGGAAGAGGAGGCCAATAAGATGCTATGTAATGATCATTCAGAGAAGCTTGATCTCTTTTGTGAAGATGAGGGTCAGCTCCTCTGCTGGCGCTGTAACTGGGAGGATAGGCACAAAGGTCATTCCGTGGCTCTTGTGGGAGATGTGTACCGGGGCTACAAGGTGAGTATAATGGTTGGGGGTTTCTAAAAGTGTCTATTCTCTTGTAAGAATTGCTGTGTAACAAAGACCCAAGTTCACACCCCAGCACCCACATAGGAGCTTAGCAAGGATATGTTTTATCTTAATAATGCTGAGAGACAGAACAGGCCAACCACTGTCTTCTGGCCTCTGTGTGTATACACAAGCATGAGTACTCCCATGCCTGTATATGCATACAACTACATCTCTCCTTCACATCTATCAGGCTATACTATACGTACAGCTGTTAAGGGGAGGTATCCTGGATACCTACAGCTGTGAGGAGAAAGATATCCTGACTGTTGGGAAGTCAGGCTATACCTGAAGCTGAGTTCCAGTGGGGGATGGTCACCCCACAGGATGTGGCAATCCTGCTCCACTCTGAGAGAGCCGGTACAGCTGGATCAGACAGCTGAGCTTGGCTCTGCTCCGCTCTGCTCCTCTAAGGGAGTTTCCCAGCAGAGGTGTCCATTGCTTCTCTGCTCCACTCTGCAAAGAGTTTCCCAGCAGAGACTCTGCTCTGCTCCAGTAGAAAAAGGCCTTCATCCAAAGCTCTTTCTAGAGATTTATTGGGAAGGAGGAATCCAGTAGAAGAGCCACTTCTGTGAGGTAGAGAAGGGCAGCTGCCAACTGAACAGGCATTGGGCTTAGAAAGGACTTCTTAGGGATGGATTGTTTCCAGGAAGAAGATTTTCCGGGTAAGAATTGGTCAGATTTTGATCCCCTTGAGCTTGAACAAGCTCAGATTGGCTGGATTTTGTGCTCAGAGACTGGTTGGTTTTGTGCCTAGGGATTGGTTGCTTTTCCTGCTCAGGGATTGGTTGGTGTTATGCTCAGTTGGTCAGGGGTAGATTTGGCTCTGGTTCCAAGTTCAGGGTGGGTTTCATTGGCTTACCCTTTTACCCTACAGTCATCACCTACCAAGATAGTAGGAGAGACTCTACACATGCAAAATCACACCATAGGAACGTCCTGATCATCATGGTCAAGCCAAGCAGCCCTGTGAAGGAAAGGGAGGTGTTGACACAGGAAGAAGCCAGAGCCCAGACCTCCCACCACTGCTAGTTCTAAACCCTAGGTCAAGTGCTACTTACTATGGAGGAATGTTGGTTTGGGAAGCGAAGGGCCAGAGGCACTGAGAAGATTTGGTGCTATAAAATAAAAACATCAAGGGGAAATTTCAAATTGTCTTCAGAAGAAAGAGTGTGAGAGGTCAGGCTCACACAAGACTCCTGAAGAATCAAGGATCTGAAAATAAATGCTCGTGCTGAGTTGCGTGGCAGGAGGAGAGCCTTGGCTCCTAGGTCCTCCCTGGAGAGCATAGGACCTTCCCCTCTGACACACGGAGGGACGGGCTCAGCCCTGCTGGCTTTCGATTTTGTGGATGCTTTGTTTTTCCGAGACAGGGTCTCTCTACATAGCCCTCGGCTCTCCTAGAACTCACTATATAGAACTGTATAGAACTCTGCCTGCTTCTGCCTCCCAGTGGTGTGATCCAAGGCGTACACCATCACGCCTGGCTGCTGTCCTGATGCTTGTCTGTTCTTGTGACTTCCAGGAAGACATACTAAGTGTGGCCTCCTCGTGTTGGCTTCCATGAAGCAGACGTAGTCTCATATAAAGGCCTCCAGTCTTTCCTAAGGATGAATCAGTGCCAATTGCCACTCGGCACACCGGACTCCTTTTTTTAATTAATTAATTTTACAGCCCTGCTGCAGTTTCCCCTCCCTCCTCTCCTCCCAGTCCCTCCCCACCACGACCCTCTGTTCCCACCCCCCAATCCACTCCTCCTACATTTCTGTTTAGGTAAGAGCAGGTCCCCCATGAGTCTCAACAGAACATGGCATATCAAGTCGCAGTAAGACTAAGCACCTCCCATGTATTAAAGCTGGGCAAGGTGACCCCACACTGGGCTCTGCCTCAGCCTCCCTCGAACAGCTGCAATGCAGAAATTGCTATTTGGATGATTTTTCCACTGAAGAGTAAGAGAAGGAGCAAGGCAGGGTGACAGTGACCAGCCACAGAGGCAGACTGCCAGGGTGGAGTGTTAGTGCTGGCACTGAGCAGATGGATAACTGTGCTAATTTGCCTAAAGTTTTCCCATCTTGTTATCCCTATCTGTAAACAGAGATGATAGCCTCAGGGTCCTCAGCACATATGCTGGGAACTGTATTTGTTTACGGATATTACACTATGTAAAGTTTAGAACAGTGAGTGACATATAGCAGAGTCACAGACTTTTTGTGAGATTCCTGGGAAATGAATGCATACATATCTGTGGAGCTTACAGTGGACTGGAATCAGTATTTTATCTTTGATCCCAATGGGCAATTTCTGGGAGCCTCAAATTGCTCCCAGTGAAAATATGAGAAACCACATTGGAAATTACCTTGGGGGTTGGGGGACAAGGACACTAATTCCTTTAAATTGTTTCTTTTTCTTTCTTCCTTTCTTTCTTTCTTTTTTTTTTTTTTTTTTGGTTTTTCAAGACAGGGTTTCTCTGTGTAGCTTTGCACCTTTCCTGGAACTTGCTTTGTAGTCCAGGCTGGCCTCGAACTCACAGAGATCCGCCTGCCTCTGCCTCCCGAGTGCTGGGATTAAAGGCGTGCGCCACCACCGCCCGGCTCAATTGATTTCTTGATGCCATCCTCCAGACCCCTCTTCTCTCAAAACTCTACTAAATTCAATTAGTGTCAAGACCTTTCCTTTCTAACTCATCCATGATACATACAGAGTTCCAGATGTGTCAAATATCTCAGTACCAGCTAAGTTTGGTTCAGCACATTATTTTATAAACTCCCCCACAAATGGTTATGGTAGTCTATGACAACATTCTCTAAGTGAGTCTGTGGTGGTGGAGGTGGTTCAGTCAATGAGGCGAGTCCTAGTTGTACTGCTGAGGATCCCAGGTATGGCCCCTGAGATGAGTTACTTGTTCCCTTGCCTCATTTTCCAGGGCACACAACAATGTTAAGCATTCTACCAACTGTGAAGATTGTTAAGGCAATCAGTAAGTTACCATATACACAATCCTCAGCATGCACTCTGAGGGACTTATTAAAAGCTCAACAGCTATTCATTGTGATTTTACCTAGGGTACTGAGATTCCTATTAAGGGCCCAGTGGAGAATCAAATTGAGGTGTAGCTCAGTTGGTAGTGTGCTTGCTTAACATGCACGAAGCCCCAAGTTTAGTGTTCCCCAATACCGCATAAAACAGGACTTGCTGGTGCACCTATGTCCCATGGCACTCAGTGAAGGCAGGAAGTTCAAAGCCATCTTTGGCTACTCGGTGAGATCCAGATCACTTGGGCCACATCAGACCCTGTTTCAAAATGGTTTGATTTTACTCACTCAAATCTTTCCTTCAGGAAAAGCTCCAGGAAACTGTAAAAAAATTGAGTGAACTCCAAGAAAACAACAGAGCTCAGCTACGTCTCATGACAAAACAAATCAAGGACTGGAAGGTAAGAGCCTGAGCTCATTGGTGTCCAGCGACTTTCTGCTGTGAGTCTAGGCATAGAGGAGGGTTGGGAGGCACACAGGATGGCTGGTTATCACCAACATAGAGGAGGATTGGGAGACACACAGGATGGCTGGTTATCACCAACATAGAGGAGGGTTGGGAGAAACATGGGGTGGCTGGTTATCACCAACATAGAGGAGGATTGGGAGACACACGGGATGGCTGGTTATCACCAACATAGAGGAAGCCCAAAGAACACTGCTGTTTTCATGTCCTAGTTGTTTACGTCTGTGAGATTTTTATCACCAAGTCCCCCCATCGTCCAATGGAAACTGGCTGGGATTTCTAATAATCTAGCCAGAAGCTAAACTGGCTTCTCAGCTTCCTTGCACATAGCCTCCTCTCTATAAAATGAACCTGTTGCTGCCACCATACACAGGTGTGAGGTACCGACATCTACCCCTTGTCTCGTGCATATTTGACTTAGTAGGATGTCCTCAACCTCCAGCTTTACTCCCTGGCCCAGACTTTAATTCTTTAGAAGAAAATATTTTATTTAAAAAAAACTAACTATGTGGGGTGGAGGGGTGGGGGCTGTGCACTTGAGTTCAGGTGCCCAAAGGAGGCCAGAAGAGGGCATTAGACCTCCTGGAGCTCATGTGACAGGTGGCTGTGAACCACCTGGGTCCGTCCTGGGAACCGAACTCAGGTCCTCGGTACGAGCACTGCTGCCGCCCTCTTAACTGTTGAGCCATCTTCCTAGCTGCAAGACTTTCATCTTTAATCCTCAAAAATACGGATTGACTTTGCGGCACACTTTGTTTCGCATTTTCAATACATGAGTCTGGGGTCCCTGCTGTAGAGGAGGTAGAATCTGGAAGAAAAGAGCTGAAAAGTGAGGCGGACTAAAGACGCATGCAGTAGCCAACTTTATTTAAAGCCTCGGACGATTTCTGAGGGTTCAGCACAGCTTCTTCCGTGGACAGTGGTCTAGCACTCGGGCAGCAGCTTTCTGACCTTGCTGTGATCGTCAGAATCCAGCTCTTGACCTCACCAGGTCAGAAACTAATCTTTGAGAGAATTCAGAAAGAGGGTCACCCCAGCCTGAATATCATGAGGACAGAAAAAGGAACCTATGTGATTTCTAAGACACAGGGATCTCGCTGCAGACCGTGGCTGCATACCACAGCATACCAAGGACTTCAACCATTTCCATGGCTGACTGTAGAGGCTGCCTACGTGTCAGAAGTACATTCTTCCTGGAAGTATATTTATTATCCATTTCCTGGTCAATTCAAAGATGGGTGTGTTCCCATGTTTGATCAGTTTTCATTGACTCTAGGCTGCCATAGAGGTTCAGAGGCAAAGAATCCACTCCGACTTTAAGAATCTCCAGCGTTTTCTACATGAAGAAGAGAAGTCTTACCTTTGGAGGTTGGAGAATGAAGAAGAGCAGGTGCTGAGGAGTCTGAAGGATGCTGAGGCCAATCTACAGAAGAAGTGTGAGGAAACTGAAAGCCAAATTCTGAAACTGGAGGGAAAATGTGCGGGCCCAGCCCAGGATATACTGCAGGTGAGGCTGTGCGCTGGGAGGCAGGAAAGAAGGCAGGTGATTCCCATGGCAGGAGGATACTTGTAAGGAAGCATGGAGATTGGAGAGGCTTGCCTCCACTCAGAATGACAAGAATATTGGAGTGGGAAATTCAGGGTCGTGTTTGAGTAGCCTCAGGGGGACTTCCACTAGTCTACAGGATCCTTTAGGTTAACTAGAAAACTTCACTTCCTCAGGGTGAACATGGAATGACAAAATGGGATAATTTCTGCCACATTATCTTAGCCACTGAGGTATCTGTCAAACTCATTCTTAAAATACTCCTTCAAGTGACAGGTGGTGACAGTGTAGACATTTAAGAGAATAATACCTACTCCATGACTTACTATAGGGTCCCTGATCCAGAACTTTCTCATAGCTGCATAACTGATGTATCCCTCCCATCAAGATAAACAGCTGGAGCTCCGAGTCCTCCTTCCTCTGCTGGGGCTGCTGGTTACAGCGGGAGGCTTCGAATGTGGCATCTATGCTCCACTTCCCAGTGGTACCTGCCTTTTCACTTCAAAGGCCCAGTCTCAGGAGCTGTGTGCAGATTTACCACTAGGGACTCGTGTTACAAGTTATCTCCAACAAGAATTCTCTGTGAAGGAGATTAGTCACCGAGAGTAGTCTTGTCAGAGGAAGGGTGAGAAAAGCTCTTGGTTCACATTCTAAGCAGCCCACATTGTAGGCTTTACACGGGCTACCAATGGAGAAGCAGGCTTCCAATGGAGAAGAAGCAGGCTTCCACTTTATTGGCTAGAGACTGGATTTTCGATGGAAGTTTTCCTGTGTCCCACCCAGTCCCGAGGCCTGCAGCTGCTTTTAAAATAATCACTCAGAGACTTATAATAATTACAAACTGTATGGCCTATGGCTTCAGCTTCTTGCTAACTAGCTCTTTTATCTTAAATTAACCCATTTCTATTAATCAATATGTTGTCACGTGGCTGTTAGTACTCTGCTGGCATCTTGTTGTTCCTTGGGTGGCCGGCTGGTATCTCTCTTGACTCTACCCTTCTTTTCTCTGTATCTCTACTTGATTTCCCACCGGGCTGTAAGCTTTCTTGCATAGGCCAAAGCAGCTTTATTTATTATCCACATATTCACAGCATACAGAAAAACATCCCACAGCACTGGATGTGTACAACACTCCTCAGTATCCATCATTTGGGTGGATAAATGATCTTATGCTTTCTGTGAGAGGAGTTGATTCAGAGAACAACTTCACATGGAAAACTCCATGAGATACTGATGTAAAAACAATCACCTTTTGCTTTTGTTTTTTCATAGGATGTGAAAAACACTTTGAGCAGGTGAGTCTTGCATGAACACCCAAAAGAAGGGGGTCAGGGCATTTTGAGCTGCCTGGAACATAATACTGAGGAAAGCCCCGTCTTTTGCTTCTCCTAGGTTTGAGACTGTGGAGCCAGAACCATTGAAGGCCGAACTCCCGGAGGTTCGGACCACATGTAATGTTTCTGAGCTTTACTTTGATGTGAAGACATTGTTAAGATGCCACCAAGGTAGGTGTGTGAAATACGGCTTGGAGGATCTTAAGCAGGGGCCAGTGTCACCTCCTGCTGCAACACATACTCACTTGTTACTTTTTAACACTTATCTGTGGGTATAAGGACAAATATTTAGATTGTAGTTAGGGATTATGTTGGTTTAGTAAGGGCCACGTGGTGGTGGTGGGTTCTCCTCCAAGATCCATGACCTCACCAGCACTGCGGAGTTGGCCAGGTTTCCAGTACCAGGCATGGTTTCCTGTTGTTGAGTGGGTCTTAAGTCCAATTAGAGCTGTTGGTTACTACCAGGTTATGTGTGCCACTACTACACCCTTATGGTTGTGTCATGTTGGTCATTGTTTTGGTTCATGGGCATCATATCTGGTTAGGATTGCCGTCTTGATTGCCGTCTTCCTTTGGAGGCTTGTGTGACAGCTTCTGGTTCCATGAGCTCCAGTCCTTAGGGAGGAGGCAGTCATGTTAGTGCCAGACTGGAGGCCCCCGAACTCGGTGTCTGAAGTGCGTGGTGTCTTTAGCAGCAGGAACTTATCTGTAACCTCTGGGGGACAAGAGAGGGCAATAGCAATAGGTTGTATGTTTTGGAAATCTCTTGGCCCAAGCTGACCAACAACTCAAAAAGGGCTTCTCATGTCTGGTATTGGAGTTTCTGCTAGACCATCTTTGGCTTTTGAAGGAACTATTGTCAACCCAGATGAGGAAAGTTCACTCAAACTATGTATGTATACTTATACACAGACTTACTCGTATTATAAGGTTTTTAAATTAAACATAGATAATAGTACTGCTCCTTTTGACTTTTGTAAGACCTCTTTACTTTTATTTTACCATCCTCCCTCCTTTTTCTGTGTTTACCTCCCTCCCCCTCTCCAAAGAACCCCCTTTCCCTTTTCCCCAATCCCATCACTTATGTACTGCTATTCCCCTCTCCATTGCTTCCCACCCACCTCCCCCATGCCAGGAATGGTCCATTTTTACTTTCCTGGTTTCTAGAGTCACTCCAGGAGATGCACTCCCGTATGAAGATCTGGTTGCTCACTTAGTTTTGTGGAGCTGTCACACTCTTGCTTTTTAGTATTTAGCATGCTTTGCACACTATGTATGCACAGCTCTCTGTATGGACTTGTCTCGGTCCTGCTTTTCCATTATTAGCCATGTCTCTGAAGGCAACACCCAGTCTCTCAGCTTCTCCATATCAAATAAAATGAGGAAAGGAAAGCCCACTTGGAATGTGGGCAACATCATGCCAGGAACTGGAGTCTTGGGAACAAAGAAAAGACAAAAAGGAGAAAGCAAGCCTAGTACAGGCCTTCCTTTCATCTCTATCTATTTCCTGGTCAGTGCAAGGGACCAAACCATCCCTGCAGACATGCATGCCTTCCCTCTGTGATGGACTGCATTCCTCTGAACTGCGGAAGAAGACAACCCCTACCCCACCCCACCCCATTGTTTTTTGTCAGGCATTTGATCACAATAAGGAAACAGTAAATGAAAGAAGGCATTTAACTTGGGGCTTATGCTTCCTCGGGGTCAGAGTCCACCATGGCAGAGCACAGGCATGGTGGCAGGCGTAGCGGAGAGTGTGCTTCTTGATCTTCAAGAAGTCAGCAGAAAGAGGGTGACTGGGGATGGCTAGAACCTTTGGGGACCTCAAGGCTCCTCCCCAGTGGCACAGCTCCTCCAACTAGGCCACCCTGACTAATCCTTACCAAAGATTTCCACCAACTGGAAAGTATTCCAATATATGAATCTATGGGGGCCATTCTCACTCAAAACTCCACAGTAGTTGAGCAGTATGTAGAATGCTGGAAACGATTTTAGGGACTGTGGTGGTTTGAAAGTCAATGGCCCTCAAAGGGAGTGGCACTATTAGGAGGTGTGGTTATGGCCTCTGGGAGGAAGTGCGTCACTGTGGAGGGGGTGCTTGAGGTTCCCTATGCTCAGGATACCGCCCAGTGTCTCAGCCAACTTCTAGTTGTCTTTATGCTGCCATGCTCCCCACCATGATGATAATGGACTGAACCTCTGAAGCTGTATGCGAGCCACCCCAATGAAATGTTTTCCTTGATAGGAGTTGCCGTGATCATGGTGTCTCTTCACAGAAATAGAAACCTTAACTAAGACAGGGACTCTTCTCAGATATGAATGAACATGTTAGATACAAAAATGAAATGCTGCTGATCCCAATGAATAAGCTTCCTGCTCTGTTCTGTTACCCGGTGCCTGCCACAATCTACAGCTTCCTGGCCATGATTACAAAATTCAAAAGCTTCTAGTCAATAAAAGTTTGGGGAAGTTCTTTGTTTCTCTTTTCAGTTGGTGATTATTTTGCTTGTGCTGTCTGTTTATTTGTGTTTTGGTGTTGTTTTTGTTTTTTGAGATAGTGTTTGCATAAGATATGAACAGAGTTGGGAAGGGCTCCTTTATGCTCCATGGTCAATGTCACCAATCCTAAAAGTTCTGAATTCAGGAGGGTTTGGGGCAGAGCAGAACCAGAGTAACTCCAGAGTTCTGATCCTTGGCATCTCCGAGTAACTCAAGATGCCGGCGATACAGATGAGGGGGTTGACTTATTGTTGCCACTGCTGACTAGGCCTGTGCCATGTACCAGGCACACATGAACTCACTTAACTCTCCTCACTGGTGTCTGCACTAGGCTCGATGATTTCCCCTTCCTAGGCGCTTCACACATAGTTCACATCACTGGGGGTTCAATGTCAAATCATGCCCAGATTTGAACACAGAGGGTTTGTATTGTTGTTTGTTTGTTTGCTTGCTTGTTTTTTAAATTATCATGTGTCCAGCTCCCAAAAGACTGGTTGTGGTTGTTTTACAGTCAGTGTGACTCTGGACCCAAGCACAGCCCATCGTGACCTAACTCTGTCTGAAGATCGAAGACAAGTGACTTACAAACGATGCCACGAGAATCTTGAGGCTTCTACTGAGAGATTTGATGTTTTACCCTGTGTCCTGGGCTGTGAGGACTTTACTTCAGGAAGACACTACTTTGAAGTGTCTGTTGAGAATGCAACCACTTGGGATGTGGGAGTCTGTGTAAAGGATGTGCCAAGGGGCTTTGACAGGAAGGAGGAGCCTGAATTTGGATTCTGGACCATCAGGATGTGTAAAAAGGATGGCCTTGGAGCTCTGACTTCTACCCCTACTTCCCTTCATCTGAGTGAGAAGCCCCAGCTGGTGGGAGTTTTTCTAGACTATGAGGCTGGGCTTGTATCCTTCTACAATGGGACCTCTGGCTCCCACATCTTCACCTTCCCCAAGGCTTCCTTCCGGGATACTCTGAGGCCCTTTTTCCAGGTTTATGAACATTCTCCTTTGTTCCTGCCTGCCAGAAATGATTAAGGGAAGGGGTAAAGTCCTCACGGTGAAAACATCACAGAAAATACGTAAATCCCATAAGGCAGAAACTTGAATGTTTTCTTCACTGCTGTCCCAATGCTTTTGATGAACATTCAGTAAATGTGCATTGATTTGATTTTTGGAAAGGCTAAAAATATCATACATGGTCAGCTTCAGGGAAAGGAAAACAAAATAATAGTGGTAATTGTCTTTTTTTTTCTCCTTCTCTCTTGTGTAGTGATTCTCAACCTTCCCAAAACTGGGACCCTTTAATACAGTTCCTCATGTTGTGGTGACCCCAACTATAAAATTATTTTGTTGCTACTTCATAACTGTGATTTTGCTACTCTTATGAATCATAATATAAATATTTTTGGAGATAGAGGCTTACCAAAGGGGTAGTGACCCACATTTTGAGAACCACTGCATTTTGTGGGTTCAGGACTTTGAATTCAGTACTCTTTATAGTTGTGATAAAATGACTCCAAGGTCAAGTTTTTGAGTCTTTACATTTTTTTTTTGATGTGTTTCAAACTCCAGTATGAGAAATGAACTAATGGCAGTGTCTTTTAACTGAATAAAGGAACAAGAACTGAAAATAACATCAGCTTAACTATTGTTCTTGCTGTTGCTATTGTTAATTTTTTTCCAATAGGACACTCGAGTCAAAGTTGTGTGTAAGACCATTTGGTATACCCCAACTAGACTACCACATTTCAAAGAAGTAGATTTCAACATATTAAAATAACTCTTTCAAGATGTGTTGAAATATTGAATGATTCTAAACATACCACACAGTCAGGGAAAAAAATCCTTAAGGTAATTATTGTATTCTGTTCAAACTGGGTACACTTGGGAGGAATTTTTTTCTAAATTAAATTATTTGAAGTGGGAAAATACAACTTTAATCTGGATCATTTGAGGTGGGAAGAGCTACTTTTAATCTGGGCCACACCTCTGGTGGCAGCCTACATAAGGATATGGAAGAAGGACGTTCTCTCTCTCTCTCTCTCTCTCTCTCTCTCTCTCTCTCTCTCTCTCTCTCTCTCTCTCTCTGCTTGCCTCAGTTCTCTCTGGCAGTCTACTCATTCACTGGCATTGCAGCCTACTTCTTTGGGATTCCACACATACTGTAGAGCAGCTTCATGGATTGAACAACTGCTAGAATTTTGGACTTTCCGTTGGTAGACAGCTGTTGTTGGACTTGCTGAACCATATCCTGTAAGCCACGCTAATAAATCATATATATAGTGGTTGTTGATATCCATGTTTCATTCCTACTCTGGAAAAGAGGCATGGGGACTGAAAAAACTAATTTATACTTTGCATGAACTTTTGAGACTATATTTTTCAGTTTCCTAGAAAATTCTATAGCCATGTTTCTCATTTTTTATTCCATCCTTCTTTCATAGTTTACATCATCTATCACCAGAGACAGACAATCTAAAGTATGCTTTGTGCCGCTTCACCATACTGTTAGCTAATATGTTGACCAGTAGATGGCACTCTTGTATTTTTGGTGGCGCTGGTCATACAGCTTTGCCTTTAATAAAACATAAATACTTGGACCAAGATCAAATAAATGTACAATTCATCTTGTTCTTACAAATTATTTTAAACAATTTAAGTCAATAATGTTTTTGGTGTTTTTTTATTTTTTCATTTTTGTTCAAGACAGGGTCTCACTGTGTAACTCTAGCTGGAACTAGCTTTGTAGACCAGGCTGGCCTTGAACTCACCGAGATCCATTGGTCTGACTCTACCTCTTGGGTTCTGGGAGTAAAGGCATGCACAGCACACCTGGCAATGATATTAGTTTTTATTCAAATCAACAAAAAATTTTTTTTCTTTCTTTTAAATAAGGTCTGACTTTGTCCCAGGCTGTCCTGGAGTTCACTATGTAGCCCAGGTTCGCTGCAAACTGATGGAAGTCCTCCTGCCTCAGCCTCCCAAGTACTGAGCACTGAGATTCTAGGGATGAACTGCCATGCACAACTATGATTTTATTGACTGGTTGATTAATTTTAGTTTTTAGAGACAGGATCTCGTGTCTGCCCTCAAACTCACGATGTAGCAGATAATGACCTTGAACTTTTGATTCTTTTGCATCTACCTCTTGAGTGCTAGAAATAAAGCAGGCACTACCACATCCAATTTATGTGAATCTGGTGGTCAAATAGGGGGCTTCATACATTCTAAGCAGGCATTCCACCAATTAAGTATATATATCCCTAGTATATATTTATATATATCACCACTTTAAAAACGGGCTGGGGTACATAACAAACAAGTCTAAAAAAGAATCCACTATATTTATGTATGTAAAAGCATCCAATCCACGTGATAGATGTGACTCATCCCTCCTTGCTGGGGTGAGGCCCTGCGGTTCTCTCTTACATGTGTCACTCACTCATTGTGTCACCTGTGGGGACCTTAGACTATCTCCATCATGCCTTTCTTTCAATCCAGTAGCCACCACGTTGTTTATTCAGTGGTTTATTCATTTAGGGAGGGTTAATATGTTGTCATACTAAGGTTTTCCATCTAAGAACACAGCATTTGGTTCCTGTCTTAGTAACTTTCCTATGCTCTAATAAAACACATGACCAAGGCAGTTATAGAAGAAATGGTTTATTTGGCTTATGGGTCCCAGAGAGTTCGGGTCTGTAGTGATGGGACAACATGGCAGCAGGCAGCAGATAGGGTCGCCAGAGTTGGAAGCCGAGAGCTCCAGTCTCAAACTCAAGCACAAAACAGAGACACCACTGGGAATGACATAGGATCTGATACTCACACCTGGCCCCCAGTGACACGCTTTCTCCGGTAAGGTCACACTTCCTAAGCCTCCTCCAACAGCACCACCAACCGGGGACCAAGCATTCCAATCTCTGATTCTATGGTGGACAGCTATCATTCAAACCACCACAGTTCTATTTAGACAGAGCTTGCCTTATGTCTTTTAATAATTTACCGTTGTTGAGTCATACTGTTCTTGTTGAAGCAATCCTTGAAATTTTTACAGTTTTTGTTTCAAGAAACAACATTTTTCTACTTTTATTCTGGAAAATCTGTTTCTACTTTTGGGAACATGTGATCAATTTCCTGAAAAGAATGATCATGTTTCAAGTCAGTTTACCAAATTCCCTTGATGGTTCTGCCCTTTAATCCTCAGTCAGGAGGAACCATACCAACCTTCCATGGTATTGACCATTCCGGTTGGTACTTCCCTCATGGTATTTATCATGCAGCTTATGAAACCATCAGAGCCACACCTCCTCCGAGAAGCCTTCCTCTGACACTTCTGTGTTGGCAGGGGTCCTTGTTTGCTCTTTCCTACTACCTTGTGCAAGATTGTGTGGCTTGCGTTCATTACCCTTCATCCTAGATGTCTGTCTGCATCCAGCCCCACTCAGTGGACTTTGGGCTCTGTAGATCATGGGCCAGGCATTAAACAACTTGATATTCTCAGAAGGTAAGCATCATGTCTGGAACATGCCAACTTTAAAAAGAATCGAGAAGCATTGCAGTTAAACTGCTTTACCTGCGGACAGTTGTCAAGAGAGATCCAGAGAAACCTACGTTTTTAAGACTTTACCAATTCTGATCTATCACTCTTGGCGTTTATGAATGTTACAGATGTAATACAGTCAACCTTTTTTCTAGTATGGGGACTAAACTGGGGGCAGCCTGCGAGCTAGGTGAGCACTCTGCTACTGAGCTATATCCCTAGATTTCACTATGTAGCTCAAGCTCAGTCAAGCCTTGAGCTCATAATCCTCCTGCCTCAGCCTCCCAAAATCTAAATTGTCTAAATGTTTTTCTAATTGTCTAAACCATACTGAATTTATCATGTGAAAATCACAGTGTGGGTAACGAGTTTGAGCCAGCTCCAAAAACCTTGTTTTTTTTTTTTGTTTTTTTTTGTTTTTTTTTCATTGTGAGTGTAACTCAAGAAGAAGTCATTCAGTCTGTAAACTGCTGTTTACTGAGCACACAGTTTTATTCTGTTCAGGCTGTTGTAGTGTGCCTCTGGAGGGGGCCCTGCCCTGCAGACACTGATTTTGGCCTAGTAAAACACATTGGACTAGTGACTTTTACAACTGAGGAGATAAGCATAAACTGCTTTAAACACCCCAAGTTTGTAAGTGATCTCATACAGTGTATATAGAAAATTATGGAGGCTGGAGAGATAGTGTTGTGTGGCAATGTCCTGCCAGATGAACATCCATCTTGAGGGAAGCTCCTTTTAAGATCACAGAGAAGAGAAACATTCTGTAGTACAGGGGGCCTCCTTAAACCCAGGAAGTAAACAACTCAAAGGCTTCAGGAAGTCCCTGAAACTTACCAGATATATTAGGTCCCACTCTTTCCAAGCACATATGTGTGTGTGTATGTATGTGTGTGTGTGTGTGTGTATATATATATGTACATATGTATGTATGTATGTATGTATGTATGTATGTATGTATGTATTCGGATAAGCTAAGCAGCCTAGAAGCAGCTCAGTCCAGCTGAGACACCTGTGCAGTGAACTCCAGGTTTCTAGTTTCTGGGAGCTGTCAGCCATACTGGGGTTGGCTGGTGGTGGTGCAGTTCTTATAAGCAGCCCGCTCACCTACACTCCTGGAAGTAACCCCAATAAAGCTCGCTTGCCAAGTTGGACTTGGTGGTCTCTTTACTTTGGCCTGTTGTTTGTTCCTGTGTGAGTGAGCAGGTCTTTGTTCTCGTCTCCCCCAGGAAGAGGTGTCACACAACAATGCCTCAGCGGTTAAAAGCACATAGTGCTCTTTGGAGGGCCTGAGCTTGGTTTCCAGAACCCTCACGAGAGGGGGGAGTCACAGCTACCTGTAACTTCAGCTTCAGGGCTTTTTAGGCCTCCTTACATACTCACATACACACCAAACAATCACACAAGCACACATACATAAAAAACTTAGAAAATTAATATAGTTTAAATTTTTTAAATAATAATATGAGAATTAAAAGAGACAACTCAGACTGGCTAAGTGGCTGCCAAGTATAGGCTCTTTGGGGGACTCTGATGATAGGGCTGGGCTCAGAAGCTCAGTTAGGGTGATTAAAAGTAGAGAGGGCAGGTCCTCAGCTTGTTTTAGGAGGGCCAAGAGGCAAACTAGCAAGATCTACTACCATCCACATTCTCAAACCTAAAAGTCACAAAACAAACCCAGGACTCAGGAGCAAAAGCACATCAGCAGGACCCAGACAAAAAGAAGGTTGGGACCAGGGAAATTCTCAGAGCCGCAGTTCACATTGATTCACCATGGGCACCAGAGGCAGAAGGACAGTCTAGCTGACTGACTGGATCCCTTGGCAAGAACATCTCACTAAAGCCGTCTACCTGTTAGCAGATAGATTTCGTCTCATCTGTCCAAGAACAATGATTATTGTAAACATGTCAAGCCTGGTTTCTTAATGCAGAAACCCGTCCTAAAGGTGGGGTGCTTTGTCTGTGGACACAGAACCCACTCCTGCTTTCCTCCCACTCCACTCGGCTAAATGTTTTGTTGACTGAGTGGCTGCGCGCACAGTTCAAAGCAGAAAAACACAGTGACACCTTTGAGCTATTCACTAGGTCAGTGACAACTTGAAAGTGAAGTTAAAAATTAAGCGGCCCAGCCAAATGCAGACTCCCTGTCCTGAGGGCATGGGATCAAACCTGGCTCTGCCCCATTCCCACGTGACTCCTTATGTTTCCCGTGAAGGGAAGGAGAGAAGGAACGCCCTCTTTTCCCAAGCTAGCTTTCTAGTCTAGGGCTTCAAATACTAGATTAATGGTGAAGGTAAGTGGTTATCTTCTTTTAAATAGGATGCTAATTACTAAACTATCAGAGATGCATTCACTAATTTTACGAGCACTCAAAAACATACCAACTGCAGCCTGAGGATCGCCGTTTGGAAATGGTGTCTGGTTCCAAAGTGAAGAAGAGGCTTTCTTACAAAGTAACCATCCAATCAAGACCCTAAGGCTTGAGAGGCCCCTGGTGCTGAGGGCCACGGTGGTCAGTGGTCACTCGCCAGAGGAACGTGTGAGTATTGACTGTGGTATGTAGATGAGTCCAGTTGGCTTTGGCTATAGATGAAACTATGAAAAATGAACTGAGAAGGCTTAGCTTTGGGACCACGGTCAGTCTTTGCTGGTTTCAATACACTTGATCATGGTTCTCGAGAAAATGAGACTGACAGAAGTCTGAATAAGATGGAAATCAAGACAAGTTGAATGTTTTTAGAAGGCTTGCTGGCTTTGTACAGCTAAGAGGTTCCCCCAAGAGACTGTGGTAGGTGCCTGTTGTTTGTGAATGGGAGCCATAGCAGAAAGGATTCAGTGAGGACAGACTCCTCTCTCATCCTACCCACCTACCCGGAGGGAATCCTGACTCAAAAGCACAGCTCCGGACTGGGAAGAGGAACCAAGTAAAGCTACTCCTGAGCTGTGAGCCCCTGTGGACAGTACTCCAGTTGAACTGTGCTTGGCTTTTTGGCATAACCCTCACTTCTAGAATTTTCCACTTCTGGTCCTAGGACCTTTTTTCTTTTGCTGTGATTTAACTTATAAATGTGTTGTTTGAGTGATGTAATAGCACGTGGAATAGCCTATTTTATTTCAGTCCCTCAGAAAAGTAGAGCGCAGATGAGGACCTCATCTTGCCTAACACTCTGGAGATTATTATCCTCATGTTCTTTGAGGTTTGTGGCAAGATGAGCACCCTCTTCATCCACATTGTAGATTCCAAGGCAGAAGAACACACTTTTAAAAAAGTTTAAAACCAACTATTTTATCAGAATGTTTTAAATTTGCTACATGCCTGTATTTGTTCCTGGATCTGAGATGGTCTAACGTGGTTGGAATGGGGACATAGTAGCTGTTGCCAATGTTGATACTGGTGACGTTTGACAATGTAGAACTCCTTGCAGTGACCCAGGCACACCTCATATTTTGTTTTCGCACAGTCTCATGAAGTAATATTGTCTCCTCTTTCCCTCTGAAAGTATTAAAGGCTTTAAGAGGTTATGAAGCTTGTTATGATTTGCACAGACTGGGAGCTCAGGCTCTGAACTGCTGGCTCCTGATATTTGAACAATATGCAACATTTGCTCTGAGTAAACCAGGAGACTGGGCTAACAAAATTATGCAAGGCAAGCAGGTTGTTAGGGAAAATCAAAGAGTATTAGAAACACCATTGCCACAAAAAAAAAAAAAAATGGGTTCTAGACAAAGAAGAGCAGGATGAAGACCCTTATGCAACCATAATGTCTCTAGTCCCATTCTATAAATAGGTTTCAAATAAAACCCTATACGCATAACCCTAATGACTATATATTATACCCTAAATACAACCTATATTGTCATAAACCTTTTTAAACATAAATTTTACTTTAACTTAATTTCACTTCAGCATTTATAGGTCTACTTCCAACTTGGACACTAGGATTCCCTATCATTTCCTGAATGGAAAGGTCTTTGAAAGTTTCCATGGCCTCAATCATTTACAGTTAGACTTAGAATGGTTGGACTGTCTTTATCCATCACACTAATGACGTGTGACTTTGTGAAACCTGGTGCCTGTTTTAGAAGCGTGGTTTTCATTATGTCACTGAAAGGCTACAGTTTGGAATGGCCGATTTTCATATTTGTCTTATGAAAAGGCAACACCAGCACCAACAAAACAATAGAGAACTATTAAGACAATAAAAGTAACACTGGAAGGCAGTAAAAGCCGTGTGACCCCACCTGGGGTGGTGGAATGTAGCTCAGAGGTGCAGTGCTTGACTGGCACCCATGAGGTCGTAGGGGCAATCCTTGGGGGAAACAAATGGCTGTTAAGACCGTTCATTCCTTTCCCTTTTAGGCTTAGACTGAAACTGTGGTCAGAACAGGTTTGTTTTTATTTACTTTTAAAATAATTTTATTTTATTTTATATGTCTTGATGTTTTGCCTGCATGTACATCTGTGTAAGGGTGCTGCGTCCCCTGGAATTGGAGTTTCAGACAGCTGTGAGCTGTCATGTGGATGCTGGGAATTGAACCTGAAACCTCTGGAAGAGCAGCCAGAGCTTGTAATTGCTGAGCCATCTCTCCAGCTCCCCTAGAACAGGCTGATAATACAGTTCCACTAATAGAAAAGGCAAGAGACAATTGGATGTTTTTCTTTAATATTCAAATCCAAGTTCAACTTAAACTTTTTATCATCAAAAGTCCTCTGGGAATAAATGATTAAAACTTGGAATACTTCAAAATGGAGCTAGTTATTGCCTTTTAAACTTAAATTTAAAATGTTAAGAAAATAAAAGGAGACTGTACTGATAGAAACACAAGTGGATCTGGCCTTTCAGAGACCGGGTGCTGACTCTGTGAACTGCAAAGATCTTCCCAATCTCCTGCACACAGTCTCTCACTGGTGAGAGGCGGGCTGTTAGCAGAAGACCTATGTCTCTTCCTCTAGAGCTGTGTGTAGAGCAGTGGGATGAATCCTGGCATCATCCAGATGTTAGTGAGACTCAGAGGCCTTTCAGGCCAGAGCAGCCAGCCAACATCTACCCTGTTGCTCATCTGTTCTTTGTGGCAGTTGAGCCTAGATATGGGTCCATTGTAATAAAACAAAGTTTCAATTACTCCCAGCTCTTAGGAGGCCGAAAAATAGGAGTAGCAGAAGTTCAAGGTCAGCCTGGTCTACATAGTGGACTCAGGAAAAGAAAGAAAGGAAGAAAGAAAGGAAGGAAGGAAGGATAGGAAAAAAGAAAAGGAAAGAAAACATTAACAAGAATATCTCGAAATTGCAAAGTCTAATAGTTATTTGTAAGTGAACTTGGCTCCTCCTAGGTAGGGAGGTAGAGACAGGAGGACCCTGATGCTTCCTGACCAGTCAGCCTAGCCCAGTCTGCAAGCCCAGGTTCTGGTGACACACCCTATCTCAAAAGACAAGATGGACAGCTTTTGAAGAATGACACGTGAGTCTGACTTTGGTCTCCAGGTGCACCTTCACATACATGCACACAACCTGAACATAAATAAATACACACACTGGCACATAAAACATCACACATATGAGAAATAATGAATAATAAAATAACTCCCAGAGTCTGCCCGTTGGGAACATCTATGGCTCTGCTTGTGTAATTTTTTTCTCCATATGTGGCTTCCACATTATCCTACGTACACTCTCTGAGTACAAAGTATTCCTCTGATATTATCTCAGTAGATTTAAAAGCATTGTTTTAACAGAGTCCTTGACAAGAAGCCCTCAAAACTCACCCTCCATACCCCTACAGTTTGATCACTGTGTCTCCAATATTTTGCTGTTATAAAAAATATTACAATGGATGTTTGGGATAAAATTATTTTCTTCATCTGTATCTTCCATCATGGTTCTCTGTTATAGATTATGAGAATCTTTAAGAATGTGGGTATATCTCTTTAAATTTGGGTTCAGAAAGTATAAAATCCTGAATTATGAAACATAAATATGATGCAGGTAGTTTTAACAGTCATTAAAGACACAGTCTAAAAATGGTTAATTTACAAGATTCTTAGAATTCCTAAGAGAAGCAAATGAATATACCCCTTCCAAAGATATACAGATACTGACTTAAACATGACCATATTGGGGGCCAGTATTTTTATTTGCTTTTCAAAGTAGCTAAATTCATTTATGATTACAGCAGAAATTCCCCACTCAGTATAGTTTTATAAATGTTTTAAAGATATTGTCAGCTCAAAAAAATGTTCATTTCATGTGCAGTAAACAATACTTTAATCATATAAGGGAAGTCAAGGCCTCAGAAGCTTGAAGCAGCTGCTCAGTTTACATCTGTCAGAAGAAGGGAAGTAATGCATGCACGTTAGTGCTCAACTTTCTTTTTCCACTCTTATGCGGTCCAGGGTCCCCTGCCTAGGGAATGGTGCCACCCACACTGAATAAAACTTCTCTCAGTTAACATAATCAAGATAATCTCACACAAGGCTACCCATAGGTCCATCTTCCCAAGTGACTCTAGATTCTACAAGTTGGCAATTAACACTGACCATTACAGCGTGTGAACATCATGTAGCATCTTCAAAGAAGATGCCACAGAATACTGTGCTTGTCCAGAGGGAAGAGAAAAATGGTCAGGATGAGAGTAAAGGCTGCTCAGGAACCTTGATCTTCAGCTCTTGAGCTCAACTGTCCTGTTTTATAAGTAATGATGCTTCCTAGCATTGCATGGTTCTCTGTGGTTTGATTAAGTCTTTGCAGCTTCCTTTTCTCAGTTTTATAGCATCACTCAGAAAGAAAACTTATTAAGCAGATGCAAAAATGGATGGTTAGAGAATTTAAACAATTTGCCCTAAGGCTTTACAGTTATTTCCTCATAATAACATAGTCCACTTGAAAGCATAGTCACAGTCTATGAGGGTCAGGATGTGAAAGTCATAAAGAAAAACAAACAACCAATGTGCACCTCTTCCTGATCCCCAGAGAAGGCAGTGATGGCGGGAGGAGGCTGTGTGTCATTTCTTGCATGATATCCTTCCCTTAGGTCAAAGCCTGTCGTGGTGACCGTGATTCGGGGCAGAGGGGAACTCCACTGCAGAGTGCACACCATTCCCCAGAGAAGCAAAATGGATGAGAAGCCTACCACCAGGAAAGGTAAGGCCACTGTCCTCATTTGCAGGTCATTCTAGAAGACTCGGTGCCCGGCTCCAGCTTTTTCACACTTGCCTGCTGTCTTCTCCCTGCTTTTTTATTATATTGCTCCTCTGGATTCTCTTAGTGAACTTCTGATCCTATTTAAGCCTCCTGAGGGCTGGGATTAATTGAAGCAGACCAAGCCTCAATCCCAAACTGTCACCTGCTGCTTCATTGTCAGGAGACACCATGGGTTAATCTGGCAGAATTGAACCAAATGATCCATAAATCCTGTATCTAAGGAATGCAATGAGTTTTGAACAAGTGATGTTAACGCAAACTGCCAGCTTAGGCACGGATTCCTGCAGAATACAGTTGCCAAACGGCTGGCCGCTTCCTCTGAGCTTGGAAACTCAAACAGATATTGAAATAATTCATTTTCAGGCAACTAGTTCTACCCGTTGGGCTACTTAGAGATTTCTTCCATTTATTTTTTCTATTTCTTTACAGATCCTGTTTGTGTCCCACAACTCAGTTTTTCAAATATGAAGGGGAAAAAAAGCCTAACCCATCAGTGACCTGGAAATCCTTCTAATATTGGCCCATTGCTTTATTTTATTGGGAATAGATACAGAATACCAGTACACACATTACACATACATATATATTGGAAGTATATTGAATGTATAAATATATACATGTGTGTTACACATCCAATGAATACTATTCTACCATTTTACCTATAAGTTTAGTAAAATTATTTCTACATATTTGTTGGAAAAGCTGAAGTGCCATGAAGACAGGATCTAGTAACACACAGGAAAAAAGAGTTACTAAAGTGATCAGGTGTTGTGGAATATCAGCTCTCAGATGGGCACAGTGGTGAACAGCTGCAGTTCCAGATGTTCCAGGGGCTGAGCTGGGGGTGTCACTTGAGCCTAGGAGTTCCAGACTAGCCTTGGACAACAAACTCAGATCTTGTCTCAGTGGAAAAAAGACAACGGGGATAGTGAGGGAGAGAGTTCAGAACAGGAAAGGAGAGAAATGTTATTTCTCTGACAGCTCAAAGGAGAATCCTCAGACAGGGAAGTAGTGTTCCTGAAAGGCATCTGTCAGTGTATAATCTCACAAAGCTCTGTGAGAAATGAATGTGCTAAATGAGATGGACCACTTACTTGCAATGGAGACAGCTGGCATTCATGGTTGGCTCTGCCTTCTTTCCCCTAATCTCCTATTTTGGAGCAATGTGACATGAGACCCTTGCATTAAAGCTTTCCTCTTGCTCATCATCTGTCTCCACGTCTCTAAAGAAGGCCATATTTGCAAGATCCCAAATTCATCATACCCACTGTAATAAAGCTAGCAAAATAATATGGCAATGGAGTTTGGAAGAAATATTATTTTTGTGAAAAGAGGTCACTGGAATTAGCTGGGCCTGGTGACATCTGGTCTGTAGTTCTGGCATTGTGGAAGGCTAAGGCATGAGAGATTGAAAGTTCAAGGCCTTCCTGGGCTACAAAGTCAATTCAAAGTCAATCTGGGCAACTTAATGAGACCAGTCTCAAGTGCACTCTAAAAAGGGCTGAGAGTAAAGCAAAGCTCAGACGTAGACTGCTTGCCTGATAAGCATATGCAAAGGTGGGATCTG